TCACCCTTCAATTAAACTAATGTGAAACCCTCATAGGCATGCCCCTGGGCTCATCTTCTAAGGGATTCTGAGTCCTGTCCAGCTGACATTAACCATCACATGTGTCTTCCTTAGCTCAGCCTGTGGCGTCTATTGTCTGATTTAGGCTTCTCAGTTTCAGTGCATCTGTCCTAGTCATGAGGTTTTGGCTTTTAGCCATTCAACCCACCAGACTGGTGCAACTGTTGATGCCCTGGATTCTGAATTTCCCTAAGCACCCTATCAATACGTAAAGCTGACCCAGGTCCTAGCCACACCCTGCTCACTTAGTCTACCTGAGGACTCTCACCCCTTCTCCAGGTTTCTGGTGATAGAAGCCAGCAAAGTCTTTCTGAAGAGTGCTTGCTCAATCCTTATTAGTGTGCATTAGCCGTCGTGGTTTGTTCTCGACTCTTCCTAAGCCATGCTCTGTGCTTGTCCTCCTTGGAAATACTGGCCTCTGGCTCATGTGGACAGAGAGAGAATGAGTCATTGTGGATCTTGAGGACAGGCATCCTCTCGAGAGGGAACTTAGCAGATGAGGCTGTCGCAGGAACAAGGGAGTCAAGCACACTTGGTGGGACACTCTTAAATGTGTCTGCTCTGCCTAGGTGTCCCTGCTCGGAGCTCAAGGTCTTGATGATTTAAAGGTCACCTATGAGAACTGGCGATGCTGCCATCCAGCCTAACAGTGCATTCCGCAATACGTGCAATTAAATTTGGGGCCTGACTTGCAGCCAAGGGATTTGTAAGAAATAAGAGATTCTTGTGTCAAAGCTCTAGTTCTAGTGTTTGTCTTAAATCTAAATTCTGAGATTATCACTTTCTGTGAGCATCAAAAGTTAGGGCATCAAAAGCTCAGGGCATTGTCCTGATCATGTGAGAGAGAGCGCGCACGCACACACACACACACACATCCAATTGGCTTTTAAATTCTTTTTCTGTGGATGTAAAGGCTATGTCTGAAATCCCTGCCCTTGGATGAACCAGGAGGATTGCCATGAGTTTGAGGCCAGCCTGAATTACATGGTGAGCTCTTGTCATACACATGCACACACACACAGGAGTGTGCTGTGTAAACCTCACCCTTGCTAGCACTTTATAATAAACTATAAGCCTATCTACGGCATGTTACACCGCCAGTGTCTCGCTTCTGCTGACAGTGAGGTCTTCACAGCACGTGAGGTAAAGGGCAAGAAGATCAAGCCAGAAATTGACCAAGACAGACACCTGGGATGGCCCCAGGAAAAGGACTCTCAGAAGTCTGATTCTGACTAGAAAACAGACTACTCAACGTATCCCAAGCTGAAAAGAGTCAGCTGGGAAGTTTGTTAATATGTTCACAGTCTGTCTTGGGGGAGGGGTGGGGCTTGGGGTTTGTAGCCCGATTCATGTCTCTGCTTCCTGATCTAGATGCAGGCAAGCAGCTTCTGCCAACATGTCTTTCCCCCATGATGGTCTGACCCCCCCCCCGGAACTGTGAGCTAAAATACAACCTCCCTCCCTGAATCTGCTTCTTTTAGGTGTTTGACCATAGCCCCTGTATCACAGCTGCCCCAAGGGGACCCAGAAGCCTGACATCCCATCAGCTGTAGCTACACAAACAGCTGCTGCCACTGAACAGTCAGCCTATCACTGCTGGCACAGAAGATGCTCTCAGACATCTGAATCAGAGCCATGGCTCTCACCTCTCCCCCCGCCTCCCACCAGTACTGCTTTTCCCACTGGTAAACTCAACAGGAAGTCATCTGGGGGCCACAGGCCGGGGCACAGAAAGTGGGAAGTGGGAGCTGAAAAATAGTGAGCCAATGAAAGAGCAGGTGAGACTTAGATGAATACAGATATCCCATTGAGCTCCATCCACACACTAAGTTTCTGCGGGATGGACCATGGTACTGGTCTCTGGGAGTCACTAGGGAATAAACCAGTCCCCAGTGTAGCTGGCTCACGGCTTAGGAACACTTGCTGCTCTTCCAGAGAACCAGGATTCAGTTCCCGTACCTACCTGATGGCTCACCCATATACAATCTATAACTCCAGTTCCATGGGACCCGATGCTGTCTCCGACCACCTTGAATATCAGTCATGCATGGGGCGCACAGACATTCATGCAGGCAAAACACGCTCGTACACTTAAAATTTAATGAAATTCGTGGGGCTTATATTCATAGGGGAAACACATAATGGGGTAGGGGGAGCCAGTGAGCACTTCATGTAAAAGAACCGGTCCATATAGATGACAAAGGATTTTTATCTGCAAGATACAAAAAATAATAATTTTTCAAATATTAGAGTACTCAAATAAATAAGCAAAAAGACAGAACAACCAAATCCAAGCAGACCCGTCCGATCTACATGTCACAGAAAGGCAAATAGCACATAGGTACCTGAGTACTAATAAAATGGCAAAGCTGAGAGATGGCGTAATAGATAAAGTGCTTGCATGAGGACCAAAGTTGAACCCCCAGCACCTGCATCAAAGTCAGGGTGAGCAGGGTGAGCAGGGTGGCCTGGCGGTAACCGCAGAACTTGGGAGGGAGGTAGAGGACGTCCCGGAGCTAGTTGCCTGAAGTAGTTTGGTCAGCTTGGGGTTCAGTGAGACCTTGCCTCAGTAAATAATGGGGCAAGTGACTGAGCAAAGACGCTGGATGTCAATCTCCGACTTCCCTAGGCATGCGCACAGGGCATGTGTGCCCACATACATGTGAACGTATATACGTATACATATGTCACATATACATACAAAAGGAATTTTTAAGGCCCGGCAAAGTATGTGTCCATGAGGACTTGAAGCATCTGGAACCTCCAACTGTTTCAGAGAGTATGAACCAGAACATTTGCCTGCACTCTGACCTGGAGGGTTCATCTTCAGACACGTAGCCGAGAGACACTGGCATGTGCAAAGGAGGATGTGGGAGAACATGGAAGCTGCATTCATAAAAGCCCTGATCACTGTGAATGCACTGTGACACACTCTTCTGTGTTCCAGCAGCAAAAGCAAAGGTGCTAACACTCCCTCAGCAATGTGGTTGAGCGACACAGCAGAGAAAAGTTATAAATGACAGGTGAATCCCTAGGGTACTGGCTGGGGAGGGGCTCAGAGAGCCCCACTGGCATGCTGGGCACGTTTTGGGTTGATGAGGGTGGAATCTACACACATCTGCATGATACAAAAGCTCATTAACCTGTAAACAGGATTTATCGCACATCTTTCATGATTTGGATATGAAGTTTCACCCAAAGGGCTCACACGTTGAAGCCTTGTCCCCAGCTGGTGGCGCTATTGAGAAGGGTTATGAGCGTGGTACCCCATCAATGAGTTGATGCATTGATAAGTTTGTGGCTGAAGGAAGCAGAACCTGGTTGGAAGAAATAGAGCTCAGGACATGCCTTTCAAAGTGTGTCTTGTCCCCAGATCCGTCTCCCTCTCTTTCTTCCTCTGCTATGAGAGCAGCAGCTTCCTCTGGCACTGGCACCACCATGATGCTCTGCCTGTCCGTAGGCTCACAGCAGCGGGGCAGGCTGAGCGGGACCTTATAATCCCTTTAAATAGCTTTCTCAAATATTTCGTCACAGTAGCAAAGGGTTGCTTAACACGCCTGGATTGAGTGTTTTCCCTCTGAAAATTAACACAAGAGGAGGAGGGATATGAAAATTCACAAAAAAAGTAAGTGCTATGAGGAAATTTAAAGTGGCGTGATGAAGAGATGAGGGCTGACTGAGCAAACTGAGACCTGAATACTACAGGTGGGAGCGTACACATGCTGCCTGTAGACACTACTCTCTGGGCAAGGAGAGAGAGTGCAAAGGCCCTGGGGCAGGATCCAGTCTAGTACCCTGGAGGAGGCCAGTCAGGGCCAGCAGCTGGCACCGAGGGAGGGAAGGGGGAGTGGCGGGAAGCCTGGCCAGCGGAAACTCTTAATTTGGCTTTTCGTTTGGAAAACCATAAAGCAGAAGAAGTAGCAGGGCCTTTGGGCTTTGGAAGGGGGGCAGAGGGAAGAGACTTTGGGAACGTGCATGTGAGCACACCTGAGAGGCGGGAGGGCTGGAAGTTCATCCGTGGGCATGGGCAGAGGCCAAGGGGGCAAGTGTGCCTGGTCGTGAATAGGGGCTCAGCAGCTGCTGCCACAGAGCTGTTGGGGAGGCAGTGAGCTGGATTCTGGGCCAGGCCCAGGCTTAAAGCTGAAACTGAGTCTCAGGATTAGAGGAGAGAGCCTGCAAGAACAAGGGAGCAAGGGAGCAAGGGAGCAAGGGAGCAAGGGAGCAAGGGAGCAAGGGAGCAAGGGAGCAAGGGAGCAAGGGAGCAAGGGAGCAAGGGAGCAAGGGAGCAAGGGAGGACCTGTGCATTCAAAGGCTTTTCTGGAAAGGGCCTAGAGCAGCTGAGGGGCTTTCCTAGAAAATGCCTCACTTCAAGTAGCTGTGTAAGTGCTCCTGGTCGGCTGAAAACTCCCACGGGAGGTGGCTGAGCAGAGTCTCCCATGCATGCTCCCGGGACACTCAAGAGTCCTGGGCACAGTGGTCCAAGGCATTTGTCATGCTCAAGGCCCCTGGGTGAGGCCTCTGTCTTGGGAAGCCTGGGAAGTTCTCACTTCCAGGGGTCTAGGAATACATGTGGGAGGAGTGTACTGTGTGTGTGCATGTGTGTGCAAGAAAGATGAGAAAGAGGAGGGGCATGGCAGAGACAGAGAGAGGAAAGAAGGAAGTGAATAGAAAGGTAAAGAAAAAAATTCAAAACAACTTTCTCCGTTCCTCTTTAGGGTGGGGCTGTTTGGTAGTTCAGTTCAGCAGGTCTGTTTGAGTGCTGTGTGTGTGTGTGTGTGCACGCGCACGCGCGTGCATGTGTGGGGGGCGGGCACGGTGTCCCAGGAGGACAGAGTTTGCATTGATGAAAACCCTTCCCAGCTCTTTGAAGCCTCTTTCCCGCTGCCTGAGCCCAGCCACTTAGTCCTCCGTGTCCCACACACTGCTCACTCTCTGCCAGGATGGCATCTTGTCTGGCCCTGCACATGACGCTGCTGCTCATCTCTGGGGTCCTGGCCCCTGCGGTGCTCACAGGTAAGGAGCACACCCACAGCTACCAATGGGGCTGGATTCTCTAGTACGTATAGGGCACAAGGCCCTCATAAGAGATGGGGTGCCCAGCTAGGGGGCTCCCCCAGTGCTGGTTGGTAGAAACTGAGTAAGATGATGTGTCTGGGAACTGTTATCGACAGGGATGGGTGGCCATTGAGGTAGGAGGGTGACCTGCGTATTGGGACCAAGGACTTTTGGTTGTCTGATGTTCTGGGGGTACTTTGTCACTAGAACATCTGAAGGCTTCCAGACCTAGAAGGTCACCAGACCTTAACAGCAAAGGGCTAAGAGGTCAGAGACCCAGATCCTGGGCTGAGAGCCTAGAGCCTTGTGATTCCTTTAAATTCTGCAACCCTGCCTGCTGGCTTATGACCTAGACCTAGAGGTAAATGTTGCTCAGAGTTCTTTGCAGAACAGGGAGGACAGTGAACGGAGACCTAGCTGGATGCTCCAGGCTCTGATGAAGGAGGCTGCATGGCAGGGCTGCTCCAGGTCAGCTTCCGAGCAGGGACATAGGCACAGGTAGGCTTCGCCTACAAAGAAATAAATCTTCTGCAGTTGTCCAGTGGACAGCAGAAAGGCAGCCTGCCTCTGGGTTCCCTACAGCTTTGCAGCCTGAACTTTAGGGCTGTCTGTGGGTCTGTTACGAAGGAGAGAAGCCACCTCTGCTTTAAAAGTGTGGCCTGCGAACTCCCAGCCACACCCGGTGACAGCCGGAGGCACCCGTCATAGTGGTCTGTGGGCTATTCTGTCTCCCCTCAACATCCTAGGAAACAGCTCAAGGTCCAGCTCTGGCCTGCTTGTCTCGTACCTCTCTCAGCCCTTTTCTCATCTGCAGGAGGTGACACCCACCACCCCGCCACCCTCACAGGAGGATGGCGAGACCTCACCAGGTCTCACAAAAAGGGCTCTCAGGATGGCCAAGTGCCCACTCAACACTGAGTGTTTGGAGTTTGAGCAGAGCTCCCGGCCCCTCAGCTAAGCCTGAAAGAGATCTTTGGGAGACCCATCTCTTCCCACAAGTTGGGACACACCCAGCTTCTGGGGTGGGAACAGCAATGCTCAGTGATGTTGCCTGAGGTACCCCCAATGTCGGGAAATGTGACTTACAGTGCTAGGAGGCATTTTCCATCGCCTAGGACCCAAGGCTGAGACCCATGCTGCTTCCTGAGGCTGTTGCCTGGCAGGGCCTTGCAGCTTGAGCTTCCTAGTGGCTTCTGTCCAGGTTTCTGCTGCCTCTTCCAGCCCAAACCTCTAGCCAAAGCCCCAGTCAGGCTGTGCACACAGGACGGCAGTGGGTGGGCTTTATGCTCCCGCAGAAGCTTTGGGAATAGTTAGGGCCCCACTTCCTCTTTCTTCCATGGGTCCCTTCTTCCCCCCAAAACAGACAAACCCACAGCCGGCATGAACATGCCAATCCCACCTTGAGTTTTGGGATGCTGGGAGTGGGGGATAGGAGGCTCTGAGAACCAGCACTAGACCCTCATGTCTGAGCAGGTGTGTACAAGGGTCATGGCCCAATCTCTTGGGCTCCTGTAGCAGGAAAGAGGAGGTTGAGTACTCCTGGGGTTGAGGCACAGGCCAGCCTGCCACCCTTCCTGCCTCAGCCGGTGGCCACAGCCACTGAGGTAGGGGAGCAGGCCAGGTTGAGTGGGCAGGAGGCCAGGGTGGGGATGAAAAGGCTCTTCATGGCTGCACAAAGGCCGTCTGTGAGCATGGGCGCCTGGCCTCGGGGCTTGTGGTCAGACCAACCGTTGAACAAACTTATTTACCAAAAGGCAGAGCAGCAGCTTGGGGTGGTGGGGCTAGGGGACAGCCTGAGGTGTCCAAGCTCATGGAACTGGCACCATGCTCCTTCTGCCAGAGCTCAAAGTCCTGTGACATTGCTCACTCTTGAGCTGTACGGGACTCCTTGTGGCCAAGGCAGGACAGAACAGGGATCTCTTACCATGTCACTCAGCCTACTCCTCCAACGCCCTGCTCTAGGGCTCTGTACTGGTCCCCCTTCTTCTAATCCTCACCCCTCTCCTGCTGGCACACTGGTCCATAGTTCCCAGCTTCCCTAGAGGACTTGGAGGGAGCTGGCTTGTTGCTCTTTTTCTTGCTGTTCCGAGTCTGGAGAACATTGAGTGCATAGGAAAACAAGATAATGCCTGGGCTACAGCCCACAGAAGCACCCCCTTCCTTAGTGGGTTGGGGCAAGCACAGTCCCTGGGCAGGAGTAGGCACCACTTAGACTGGCTGGACCTGGCACTCAGAATCCTTGGGCAGCCTCCCTGGCCAGATGCCTGGCACTAGAGGTGAGTTTTGGCCAGTAGAGGTGGGGTAGGGAGGGGCCAGCCTGCCTGCCTATTTTGGGTGTGTCATGAAGAGTCTCAGGGCAGACAGGCAGTCTCCAAAGCCCAGACCTCAGGGTCTCCTGAATGGCAGGCATGCTCAGGGTTTTTCTTCTGTTTAGTCAGGGGAGCCTGAGACTAGACTGAGGCCTAAGGCCCTTCTTCAGGCCTTTAGCCTGTAAGCACTGCCTTCTCTAACCACGTCCCTTTGCCCTCTTCACAGGGTGCTCTTCTCAGGAGGTAGGAGACTGGCCAGTCAGTCAGCCCTAAACTCTGAAAGGGAAGCCTCCTGAAGTGGGCGACAAAGGTCTTTGGGGGCCCTTTTGCCAGCCTTTTCTGAAAAGGGGGTTCCAGTTTGGGGAAGCCCCCAAGGCACATGACAGTAGTCCCTGCCTGCAAGTTGAGTGTCACATCGGGCCCAGGCTTGTGAGAGGCTTCAGGGTAGAGCCTGGGGAGCCAGGGATCTGCCAAAACCTTATGGTGAAAAGATTTCAATTCTCCAAAACAGTTCTAAAATTATCGACGGAACTCCTGCCCAGCCTTCACCAGTTACCAATATTTGCCACATGGCTCCCTGACCCCACCAGATGCACAGCAGTCCGAAGCTGCCGACATCATTTATCCTCAGTTGTTCAATCAAGAACAAGGGCACTCTCTTTCCTCACCAGAATGTGGCTGCAAACTGGCACCCAAAACCCAGCACTGTACTTACCAGAGTCTCTGACAGGACATATGAGCCCTCCTCCCCAGTCCTGGTCCAGAACAAATCCTCACAGTTCATTTTCCTTTCCAGACATTGGTGGTTTGGAAGAGCTGGGTTATTTTGAGGCTGACCAGAGTCAGGCTGTGGCTGTGTGTTCTGTTTGCCCCGGGTGGGAACCATGGACAGGAATACTCAAGGCCCTTGGGTCTACCCTTAGCAGTCCCTGTTCTGCGCCTGGTCACAGAGGGAAGGAGGCACCCAAAGATGGAGCCCTTGCCTCAAAGAAGTCCCAGGCACCTTCATGTTGTGGCTGGGCTGGTAATAGCGGTACAGCTTTACTGGAGGTCCCTAGGAGATAGAGCTGTCTATCACCAGCTTATCCAAGGCTTTTGGACCACCCCACCATAGCTGCCTCCATTTAACCAGAGCCTTGACTTTCTTGTCTCTGATTAGGGATAAAGGGTCCCCATGCCACAAGCAGATGGAATGAATGAGATGGTAAAATGATTTTCATTGGTGGTCCTCCTGTGTATGGGACCTGCGTGGGGCTGAGTGTCCCTGGATCATCCTTCCTAGTTGAGATTAGGGACCAGCCAAGATGCCAAGACAGACAGGCTGAGGGGACATCTTAGAGCCTGCTGACCAGATGGTCTTGAACTTGTCTTGGGGAAATTGGCTCACTGGCGTGTGGTGCTCTGGGTTTCACAGGCTGAGCTCCTTACAGTGGTGTGTGTTAGAAGGAGGTAGGTCATGTGATTCTCATTCCTCCTGTGCATCCTGTCTTTTTCCTTCACTCTGGGATCCCTGGGTACGCCCAAACCATGCTGACTCCCAGCTGCAGAAGACTCTTGATGAAAAGTCCACTCAGGGACCCATGTGCAGACTGAGATTAACGAAGCTTGGGGACCTCCCTTAAACTGGCCATCTGCCCTTCATCTGTCCCCCACTTCCTGCAGGCAGCACTATGCTCTCTTGGATTGAGGGAGGGGCTATTAGAGGCCCAAGGCTGGCCTCCTGATCTGAGGCTGTGGCTTGGGTGGGCTTCTCTTGGCCTTTACCAGGGTAGTGGCTCCCTGAAAGTTCCTTGACTCTCAGCTTTTGCCCCAAGTGAAGGCTGAGTTTTCTCTGCCCTTGGGATGGAAAAATTCCCATTTTGCAATTGCTCCTGGCTCTCTGCCCCCATCAGTCTGTCCTCACATGGCTTTAGGGCTCAGCGGGTGTTTGGGGTCACATGTGGATGGTCTCCCAAACTTAGAAATTAATTTCCCAGTCAAGTGTTTCACCTTGTGGAGTGTGGGGGCTGGTGTGCTGAGCTTGAGTTCTGCACAGGGCATTCCTCCGGGGATCTGGTGGGGGGGGGGGTTCGCCATCCCTGCCCACAGATTACCTGACCCCCACTGCCTCTCCTTGGCTTTGTAGCAGAGGGTCCCCAGGGGCCCGATCCCACCCTGTGGAATGAGCCCATTGAATTGCCCTCGGGTGAAGGTCCCCTGGAGAGCACCAGCCACAGCCAGGAATTTGTAGTCTCCGGCCCTCCGTTCCCCACCTCTGCGCCAGGACCAGAGGACAGCACCCCGCCCGCAGGGTCGGACCAGGATGGAGGTAGGGCCTGGACGGGCCAGTGAGAGATGCTCGAAACGGAGGAGGAAGAGAGGGAGGGGAGGGAGGAAGAACAGCACGGAGGCCCAGGCCTGGGCTGGACGTCGGTGGGGGGAGGGGAGTAACATGCTCCTCTGTCCTCCACAGGCTCGCTTGGACCAGGCGCCATTGCAGCCATCGTGATCGCCGCCCTGCTGGCCACCTGCGTGGTGCTGGCACTCGTGGTGGTCGCGCTGAGAAAGTTTTCCGCTTCTTGAAACCAATAAAGGAGCCGCGCCGGCCCGCCCGCGGCGACTCTGCACCCTGTGCTGTGCTCTCCTTTGTCCCCTCCGTGCGCCAGTGCGTGCGAGCCCGCGTGCAGGTGTGGGCGCGTGCAAACCTGGACGGGGGCGTGTTGCTGGGCCACGCCGCGTGCCTGGGGTCGTGGGTGGAAAGCGCCAGGAGGGGAACACGTGCACGCGTGACCACGTGCGTGTGTTGTGCTGTGTCGGGGGTGCACGCATGGAGAGCGGTGTCTGCTAAGGACCACTTGGCTGCCCCCCCTTCCCCCCGCCGCTGCAGTGCAGTGGGCCTGAGAGCTCTTTCCCCGCCCCCACAACTCCTGGCCTCCTGCGCTTCTTCCTGGCCCGGCTGGGGGAGGGGAAGCAGAGCTGGAGAGCTTCACTAAGGCTCGCCCGCCCCGATTGCTTGAGACCGACAGAGATGATGGAGGATTAGCATTGGATGGATGGGGCAGTAAAGGCTTTCGATTTGACTCAGGCTCCAGGAGGGGCTATATTCCTAATTAAGAACCCCAGTCCTTGTGTCTTCACCCCTCTTCAGAATTTTTCTACTTCCAACCACACACTTCTGGGGCCTAGAGGTTACTGTGTATCATTTCCCTGGGGCTGTTCTTCCTTTTCCAGCTGACCTAGAAAGTTGGGGAGCACTCTGGGATAGAATGGGGGGGGGGGTTGGTAGGTCAAGGTTGGAGCTGTGGCCCTCTGGTTGCAATGTGGCAAGCTGCCATATCCTTCCAGGAATGCTCGAGGGGCTGAGGACGGAAGACCTCCGAGGGCTGTGCTGTGATCTGTGGGAAGATACCACACAGTCCAATGGCCTGAACAGGCCTCTTCTGGGTCAGGCATGGCGGCACACACATGCAATGCCAGGACTTAGGAGGCTGGGTGCCGGGGGCGGGGGCTGTGAGTTTAAGGCAGTCTGGGAGATGGTCTCAAGAAACAAAACAAACGAAAGGCCTGTTCCGATGTGGAACATCCTCTGGCAGATGCACAGTGCCCTGGATACTTTCCTAGGACAGAAGTGGGGTGGACATACTTTGGGCAGAATCGGGGTAGGTGTGGGTGGCTGTGCAGGCAGGCCGGGGTGGGAGCAGCAGTTCCCCGAAGGCACAGAGGAACCAGCTGCCCTGACGCACGGAGGAACTTCCAAGGCCAGTGTCTGGACCAGGTAGGGAGCCCAGGCCCCAGGCCTGAGGTCAGATCCGAAGAGTCACTGCTTACTAACACCTTAGGGTCCATCCCTGTGGCTTTATAAATGTGTACTCACCCTGCAGCAGGAGGGGTCCCCCATTTCCCCAAGAGCCCTTTCTTGAGTCCCTCCATAAGCAGAGGTCCAAATCCTTTCCCATCCTGAGACCTGATGTTGGCTCCCTTGGGAAGTGTCTGCAGCCCCTCCTTAGGGGGAGGCCTCTCCTAATGGCCTGTCAGACTGTGCCTCCCTCCCAGCCAGAACCAGATGCCTGCAATAAAGAATAGGCTTCTCCCCCTTATTTTATACAGGATGCTTTTTTCTTTTTTAATGCAGCCAAAAATGATATTTGCTTTTCTCAAAACCATGACCATAAAGGATGCAGTGACCAATTCATTCTACAACACACCCGGGCTCCTTCAGGGGCCAGGAGACACAAGTGACATCTAGCCCTTCAAGCAGCTAGAGGTGGCCTGAACCCTCAGTTAAGCTTTAGAGGGCCTGCTGAGGGCAGGGCTTGGCCGTGCAAGATAGGCTGGCAGAGGCAGAGGGATGGGCTGGCAGAGACTGCTCACCAAGCGCCCTCGGGCAGGGGCAGGCCATTGGTGTGCCTGGTAGGCTTGCAACGGCTTCCAAAGTAGGGAAAGACACGTGCAGTTCAGGGGATCCTGACGGTAGTTGCCTTCTGCCTGCCTCCTGCCAGGGACCCTTGGGCGGGCCTCTTCCAGTCCCGGCAAGGTCTCTGGAGCATGCCTGCCCGCTTCTAGCACTGACAGGCTGGAGGGGAGGTGATGTAATACTGCTAAATACTTAGCCTTCCGCTGGCACTGGAAGCAAGCCAGTGGCCAGGACAGTGGAGTCCCCTCTGCGTGGGCAGGGACAGTGCAGGCCCAGGCCACTCCTGCTGCCTGGGAAGGCACTGATTGCCCTTCCTAACACTCTCTATCTGTTGGGGTGGGGTCTCTGCTGGGCCTGCTCCTGCCCCCTGCCTACACCCCTCCTTCAGGCTGGTGCCTGAGCTGCGTGGGGGCAGTTCATTGACGATTCCGGCTGCCCAACTTCCTTCGGTCCTTATTCTGGCTGCGCTGAGGGTCCTCCATCTTATGTACTCGGAAACACTCCTTGAGGTTCTGGGAGCGGATCTTGGGGTTCAGGATCTCCTCTGTCATGGAACTGGGGAACCAGCCTCTCTCCTGGTCGTGCAGGCGCTCACCAAAGATCCACCCTGCAAAGGAGGCAGTAGGATCAGGAGCTCTACAGGGGCAGGGTGAGGCAAGGCTGGGGCTTCCTCTTAGCTAAGGCTCCCCTCTGTATGGGAAGCAAGGATGGAGCCACAATCAGGAGTTCCGCATTTCCCAAAGGGCAGTGGCTTGGCACTTCACCTAAGCTTCGATTGCCCCTAGAGTGTGCTAGGAAACACACGGAAGTGTGAAGAACCAGGCTACAGACTCTGCCTTGAGTGAGAGCCCATTTCCGAACCCTTCTAATCTGCCCTGTACCAGGCCAGGAGACTTGAAAGGCCACCCCTAAAAGAGGCATCCAAGGAGCCGGTGTAGAAGACAGCTGGCCACTGACTTCCCAAACCTGGACATCGAGCTCACCCTCTCACTTGGCATAATCTCTCAGAATCTCACCCGGAGGGCCAAGTGGTTGCTGAGGTAATGGTGGCCACTACAAACTGGGGACACCCTGAGATCCCAAGTGGCCTCTTCTCTGCTCTCTCTCTTCTCCTGGAGGAGGTCTTTTTTTTTCCCCCAAGACAGGGTTTCTCTGTGTTCCCCTGGCTATCCTAGCACTCACTCTAGGATAACTTTGAACTCCAGGCTGGCCCTGAACTCACAGAGATCCACCTGCCTCTTCCTCCCGAGTGCTAGGATTTAAAGGCATTCACAACCACTGCCTGGCTTCTCCTGGAGGTCTTTGTTAGGCTTGTTGCTAAGCAGCCTGTCCCTGCCCAGTCTTCTGTAGGCTACTTTAGGAGGGGTGTGAGGCAATGTATTATGTTAGAGAAAGGGCAAGGGGTCCCTGGAACCCACAGAGGAACGCCACGGAGATCAGTTGGTTTTCCAACCACGACACTGGACAAAGGAGAGGACAGGAGGGGGCCTTTGTTCTCCTCAGACGATTTGATTTGATTGTATCTCTTATAATGACATCAGGTTCTCGCACTGTGCCCAGGCTACCCATAAATTTTCAGTGACCCTCCTGCCCCTGTCTCCCCAGTGCTCTAATCACAGGTGTGTTTCATCATTCCCAGATGCCCCTGGGGTTTTGATCAGGAACAGTCAACATCCAAAAGTGAAACTTGCTGAACAAGAAAGGGGGCTGGTGTTAAGATGGGCAGGGGCTACAGACAAACTCCCTTTGAAGCTAATTCTGCCCGCCACCCACAAGGTGGGCCGCAGGGGGGCTTCTTGGCCTGGTCACGGGTGTCCCCAGAAGCTTGTGATCAAACAGGTTGAGATCAGGGTGAAGTTCCCTCCTAGGGGAGGACTGAGGCCATAGCCAAGGCTGGGAAGGAGACAGAGAACCACTTGCTAGACTTGCTGTAAGGGGAGGAGCCTCACAGCTCACAGCAATAGAAGGAAGGCCCAGAAGTCCAAGGAAGGAGCAAGGGATGCTGGGCCTAGTGCTTAGACAGGCTGTCCTAGGTTATGCCGGCGCCAGCAGAGGGTGCTGCGCTGCCTGCCCACCTGCTAACTGTGCCAGCTAGTCCTACACCTAGGCTACAGCCCTTCCTCCCATTAGAGGGGCATGGCCGGCCGAGATGCAGATTTTCCTGGGTGCCTCACCATCCTCGGTCTTCTCCAGGATGTTCAGGATATCTGCCAGTTCCAGCGTCAGCTCATCGGGCTGCTGGGCCACGTACGGGTGCACACACTGGACCTGCGGACAGTCTGCAGGAGAGGAGGGGAGCGGTTACTGTGTGTCCTCATCACGGGTTCCACTCAGCTCCACCTCCATGCAAGCAGGACCAACAGGCAGTGGTGCTCTGCCGGGGACAATGCTGCCAGCAGCAGGTGGCTGAGTCCTATTGGAAACAGGACTTGGGGCACACAGCAGTAAGGAAGGCTCCCTCTGAGAGGGGGGTCACATCCCAGGGAGGCCTCATAGGCTACTGGGAATTCTGGGGAAATGGAGCCATGATGGGGCTCTGAGCCTAGAAGGCAGGAAGAAACTTTTATTCTTCGGTGTGACCCTGTGAGCAGCTTGGAGTGAGGACAAGCCAGTGGGCTGGGACAGTAACTTCTTCACAAGCCAGACTCATGTTCCTTTGGGTCTTCTGTGGGTTTTAGGCAACTGGAAAACCCAATAGAACACTGGAGTTTGGGTCCAGGATTCTGCCACCTGACTCTTTGAATGAAGCTTAGGCAGCCAGTGCGCACAGGCACTGACTCCTGGTTGGTGCCAGGAAGGACTTCTGAGGGTCAGAAGTGCCTTCGCACAAACAGCCAAGGGGCCCTGAAGCTGAGGCCCAGTGAGTTTTAGTTGAAGTCAACCAAGAGCCCCCTTTCCAAGTCAGGGACTTACCCAGCAGCCGGGATGTGAAGGACACGAACTTGGTCCTCCTGTTGGGGGCCAGTGAGGTCATCCAACGCTTCATCTCACTCCTGCGTAGGAAGGAGACAGACAGAGCCAACAAACTCCACCCTCCGGCATGGTAGGCCTCCAGGCCGCAGCCTGGCTCCAGATTATACCAGGACAGCTCGGTCAGCCACACAGGGAACCCCTGCACAGTTCTCCCACACCAGGGGTTTGAAGCCTGACAGTGTGAGGTCCTGAAAGCTGCTAGCTCTCAAAAGTGTTACAGTGAAGCCACAGTCTCTCAGCTGTGGTAAAGCTGGGGAAGTTAACATCACTTCCTGCTAGTCCTGTGAACTAGATAGAGCCTGGGGATTCAGCAGGGCAGGGGACAGCTCCTGACAGGGTGTGGTGATGAGCAGCTGAGCACGAAGGAGGGAGAAGAGGCTGACTGGGCAGCTCAGGAGAAAGCCAGGGCTCCGTGGTCCACAAAGCAGATCCTACTGTCTTATGTATTTCCCCAAGTGCTTGGGGCTGTGGGGCAGCCATCCTGGCTTCTCAGACATGGGAGAGTGAAGGACTGGAGTCCACACAGAGTGAAAACAAACAGACAGACAGACAGGAGGAGGGCAATAGTGGCTCACTAGCATATCATCTAGAAGGATCCCATTTTACAAGATGGACTTGCTCTCTTTGCACACTCACGAACCCAGGAATTTGCAGCCAGCATATGCCACCCACACCCCAACATGAAGAGCCTACAAAAGTCCTCTCTCTGCCAGAGTCCCCACGGGAAGGATTCATGCCGAGGAGAGAGGCCAGCCTCCTACAGATGTGTGCTGAGCCCTGTTTCACCTTCAACCTATGAATGGCATGGGGTGTGGCTCATGGCACAGGACACTCACTGGGAGGATGCCTTCAGCATGTAGGTGGCCTCCCGGTCATCTGAATTTTCCAGCAGCCGCAGGATGAACACATTAGCCAGCGTCTGGCCCTGGTCCTCCAGCTCCTCCACTCGCAGCAGGCCCCTCGGGGCTGAGTCAAATACCTGGTACTTGTCTCTGGAGAACAAAGGAGGCAGGGTAGACCTGCTGGTCTCAGGAGAACCTTTCGGCTGGCTGGAAGAACCAGCATATGGTCCCAGCCACTCTTTACCTCCCCCCGGGAAATCCCAGCATGCCTATCCCCTGCTCCTTAGGAGGGTTCCCATTCCCGGGGTGTGGCAGGGCAGCGGTCACTTTATTGAGGTCAGTGTCACATTCGGGCTTTCACTGGGGCTCACTCAGGGAGGTGCCATTGTGGCCCAAAGCTGGGCAAGAGCAGAGCTGACCTTTGGAAACCTGACCCTAAAGACAGCTACCCTGCTGCCAGCCCCTCACTATCCTGTACCATGGCCATCAGTGCCAGGCTCACCCAGGGATCTGCCGGCAGATCACCAGCAGGTCATTGAAGAGGAAGAGGTAAATTTCTCTGAAGAGCTTCTTGGTTCTCAGGGTGCGGGAGGTCTTGGGGCCGGACATCTGCTGCAGCTCGCCCTGCTTCAGCAGCCACCGGGAGTGTGAGATGATGGGCACTGACTGGGAAGGGAGGGGGTGTCAGGTGGCAGCACCCTTGCCCCCTCCTGAGGGTCCTACAAACACCGCCCCTGGAGTGAAACTGTAGGCTCGGTGTGGTGTGTGGTGTGTGGTGTGTAAGGGCTATGGAGGGGGGCACTGTGCTCCCTGCCACTCGCCAGGCGGCAAAACAGCCGTGGGTGTGAGTTTGCATGTGAATGCGTGTGGCCCTAGTGAGTGTATTGTGCATGTGTTGTGTGTGTTTTGTGCTGTCTATGTTACCTACACTTGAGCTTTGGTGCTCATGCCTGTGCTTTGGCGTGTCCATGTGTGCTGGTGTCTGCGTGTGTGTGTGTGTGTGTGTGTGTGTGTGTGTGTGTGTGTGTGTGAATACCCCACCAGGCTCAGCTTGTTCTATGGAGCCTAAGAGGTCAAGTTCACAGAAGAACGGAAATAATGGTGTCCGTGGGATAAAGAGGTTGGGGCTGGGGGTGGAAGGCTTTGGCAGGGATGAGAGCTAGGCACTCCGCAGTCACACCAGCAAGTGTAACCCCAGGAGGTCTCAGAAGACCCCTCACACCCGCCAGCTGGCCTCAGCTCCCAAGCCCTGACCTCTGACCTCTGGGACCCTTTAATCTTTGCTCAGGCTAGACAAGACCTCTCCTCCTGAGCTATGAGGGAAGCTCTCCAGGGCCCTCAGTAGGCAGCGTGTGCCGATATCATGTCATCAGGAATCCAGAGGAAGGAAATAACTTGCAAATCCCTCAGCACTGAGAATCCTTTGAACAGTCCCTGGCCGGCTGCTGAGGACCACTAGGCGGTGACCGTGCCGGATTCACACAGGCAGGCAGCTGTGGGCCCCGCCCAGCCCACGGAAGGTAAACCTGGGCAGAGAATTAGTGCTTCCACCACTAGGAAGGGTGGGTGGGGTTGCAGGCTGGACCAGCTATGCCTCTGGGCAGGGTGTGCCCCCCACGGCTGGGCACAGGCCGACCCAGCCCTTGCAGACTCACCTTGATCTTGAACTCCATCTTTTTCTGAATGCTGATCATCTGTTCCGTGCGGCTCATCTTCCGGACACCCTCGTTGCATGCCTTTACCACCTGGGACGGAGAGGATCTGTCAGGCCAGCCTGTTGGGACGTCCCCAGCCACACTGTGACCAGAGTGTCTGGCAGCTGACAATGACTGGCCAGCCTCAGGTCAGCTAGAGTTCCTTCTCCCCACAGTCGGGGATATCCTTTGAGGTCTAGAGCAGAGGTTTTCAACCTGTGGGCTCTGACCATTTTGGGAGGTTGAACACCCCTTTCACAGGGGTCACATATGAGATATCCTGCTTATCAGATATTTATGTTACAATTCATAGCAGCAGCAATATTATAGTTATGAAGTAGCAATAAAAATGATTTTATGGTTAGGGTCACCCCAACATGAGGAGCTGTATTAAAGGGTCACAGCATATGAAAGGTTGAGAACCACTGGACTAGAGGATGATTTGTCTCCTTGTCCTTGACTAGGAAGTCAACCTCCCAGACCAAAAGGAAGGGGCCTTTCTTTTCATCTTGATTAGAACAGAAAGGGCTCCTCTAGGTTGACTTCTCACCCACTGGGGGTGCACAGGCTCCCCACCTCTTTGGAAGGCAGCCAGGAACCAATAACTCTACCTTCCCCTGGACTTCTGGGCCTCCATCTCTGGAATCAGAGCCTTAATTGGCTCACAGGGTCTAGGGCAGAGCCTGGCCTGAGGCAGTGCTTTGTCAGTGTTTGTTAATAAGCTCAGGAGCCCAAAGAAGAGACTATGAGGATGTTCCTTGCAGTGTTGCTTAGAATGAGAAAATCTGTCACCTCACCGACTTAAATTGTCCATTGAGTAGCACTGATGGAAGCACAATATATCCACATACCCTAGGGCTCTGAAATCAGTAATACATACTCAACTGAAGAGCAAAGGCTGTGCTTTAGATACAATGTCTGTTTGTAAAGAGTATGGTGGTGTGCCGTGTGTGTGTGTGTGTGTGTGTGTGTGTGCACACGCGCACGCGGGCGCGCATGCGCGCACGCATGCAGGCCTCTGACCAGGAGTGCTGTCAGCAAAGAGTGTGGGTAGCCAGAAGTATTTGCTATCTTTATTTTGCTTATGCTCATTTTCTGCATTTTCTTGTATTTGAGCATCAATTACTTTTATGAGTGAGGAAAAACAAGCTTTTTTTTTTTAAGAAGTTATCAAGAGAAACAGAGCATCTCTTTCATCAAAAGGAGAAGAGAGACAAAAGCAGAGAAGAACTTAAAATAGGAAACACATCTGCCCGCTGGCTGACCTCTGAGACAGCCCTCTGGGCTGGCAGGCCTCTGACAGGTCAGAGGTCACCAGACTTGTCCAGGCCTCTGCTGCCTAGAAGGGTCTAGTAAGAAGTTATACGGACCATTGACAGGGTCCAAGTGTCCAAGACAGCATTTGAAGAACACACAAGGCTAGAGAAAGCTGCCGATGCCCACGCACAGCCCTGCCACAGGAGTCATCTTGGAGGACACTCCCAGGCAGGGCTCTGGTCAAGGCCTACACCAATATAAGGTGCATCCCGGAGGGTGGGGTTGGAGCAACAGGCTGCAACGGGCATGGGGATTGCCACAGAGTTCTGTGTTGGTACAGAGTGCCAGGTAAGTGCCTTCATAGCTAACCCGGGCACATGACATGAACAGAGAGTGGTGAAGGGGTACGGTGGTGCAGAGAAGGCTCTGATGGAGTCGCACTGGGTGTGACCCCCACCCCCACCCGTGACTTTTCTGGATTGCAAAAGTAAATCTCATAATAAACGGGATGTTAAGAGGACACAGTGACAGAGGAGGCCGGTAGGGATAGTGGTCTAGAGGGGAGATGGCTCCCTGGAACACACAGGTGGAAGCAACTCACCATTTCTAGCTCCTTGTGGGCATCCAAGGCGGTGCCTTCACGCTCAGACCTCTCCTCCACTCTCTTGAGTATGTTCTGAGGGCAGGATGGAGCTGGGTTACCCCTGTCTCCTCCCGCTTCCCTTCCCCCTCCCTCCCTGGCCATGGTACCATCCCTGGAGTGCAGCTTTAACGGAGCCAACACACATAACTCTACACTGGGAGGACAGAGGGTAGCAGGGCCCTCAGCCAGGCCAGGGGTGGATGCCTTGGCCCAGGATGATAATGGGAAGGCCGAGCCTCAGTAGCATGGGTCCCCGAGGGCCTGCAGATGCTCTATGTCAATGCAGAGCCACTGGCCCATGCAGAGCAAAGCACAGAGGCAGTGCAAAGCAGCTAGGGACCCTGGTCAGTCAGGCAGGGCTAAGACCTAGTCTGTCCCCAGGTGAGGCATAACGTTTACACAGGGCACCGGCACCCTTCCTCCTTTCCTTCCTTCCTTCCTTCCTTCCGGAGTGGTCACTGGAGAGCAAGTCATCATGGTTCTGGGCTTTGCTGACTCTGGACTTCTCACTGTAAAATGTCTTTTCTCTAACCCCTCAGTTTCCTTCATTTCCCAGTTACGCTCACATTGCTCCTCTCACCTGCAGGCCAAGAATAACCCTTTTCCTCCGCTTACTCCTGCCCTCCTGCCCTGGTATCTGCCAATCTTTCCTTCTGGAATATAGCTGAGCCCACACTGTTCAGAGCACAATAGGACTCTAATTGGCCCTTGTTTAACACATGGATTCCCTAAAATTCTACCAGGGAGGTGGAAGGAGCGAAGGCCTGGGCAGAGGAGGCCTACAGAGCCCAGAGCACAGTCAAAGGTCATACCTGGACCAGCAGCTTGAGTCTTGTGATCCTCTGGAAGGGCAAGATGAGGAAGGAGGAGAAGGGCAGGCCCTTGCACTTGGGGTCCAGCTCCAGCTGTGCGACCAGCTCCCGGAAAGCCGTCTTCTCCTGTCTGAAGACCCAGACACAGGGGACTGTCTCTGAGCTCAGGCCCTGGAGGTGTGAACAGAAGATGCTCCCCCCCTCCTCTGGCTCCTTCTCCCTCCCCCTCCTCTTTTTTTTTTTTTTTTAAATGGAAAATAAACTGTTCATGTAAACGTCAAATAACAATAGTGGTTCCATATGCCAGGCCATGAAGACTTGGCAGAGCATGATTTGTGTAGGAGGGGTAAGAATCCCATTGTAGCCAAGGTTATGAATCAGACATACAATTAGATGACTTCACCCCACAGGAAGCCGTGGCAAGGTAAACCCACGGAGTGATGCAGTGATGGAACCTGCAGCAGGCTCGAGGCACCTGCCAGGGGAGCTTGGGCTATTTTTGGCAGGTGGGCTTGGCCACAAGGCGCAGTGCCAGGAAGACAACTGCCAGAGACTTCCTGCAGGGCAGCAGCAGACATCAGGTAGCCACACTGCACCTGCTGCTAGTGGGGCCTGGGCACTCTGCACCCACAGGGCAAAGTGACATGGTGGCCAGCTACCCTGGGGATTCTTGGGAGCTGCAAGACACGAACATCTGTTCTGCAGGCTGCTTGTTTTTTTCGATCTAAGAAACTGCCCCCGGATTCCCCCCACAGTTACCCCAAAGCACCCCAATGCCTGGATAGCCAGAGTTCAAAATGTCCACTTCAGCCATGGGCCTTGATAGAGAAGCCACCAAGATTCAAATGCTATCTGGACAACGAATGTGCGGCACACAGAAACCTTCTTGGCACACTATCTACAGCAGGGCCTCGAGGCAATGGCAGACTTCTCCGTCACAAATGACTGCCTTAAGTGATTCTCACTCGGGGGCCAGCTGCAGGACTGTTTCTCAGCCACTGCCACAGAACTGCCACCTTCGACTCAGAGCTTCTCTACAGAGTAGCTGCTTCCAGGTGCCAGGCAGAGCTTGCCAGCCCCCCTCAGGCAACTTGGGTAGATTTGTCTGTCCTAATGAGGCACCTACCTTGTCTTTGTTCTCAGGCATGCCAGAGACCCCTACATCTGTGCTGCGTCTGGGACTGAAAACCTGGTCTTGCTTACCCAGTATAGATTCTCCTAGTGCAGATTCTTTTCACATGAGTGGGTACCACCGGGAAGCCCTCTCCTGTGGTGCAAGGCAAGGTCATGAAATGGGAGCTGGCTCCCAGTTCACAGGCGACACCTCATGGCCGGCCAAGACTCCTTCCTGCCCCCCCTTGGCTCTCTCACTACTTCACAGCCTTGTCTCCAGTGTTCTTGGATTACCCCTGTGGGTGCACATGCTTTTTTCTAGGGCTTTCCTGGCTGTTCTGGACACAGGTCTGGGGTCTTCAGCTGACCTCACTGGAGCACAGGTAGACTAGTGGTCTTCTAGTGACACCAAGATGTTCAGGGAACATGCTAGATTTGGATGCCATTACCCACCTGGCCGGGTTGTGTGGCTTAGGGAGGTCCTGGGGAATGCCCAGGCGAGGATGGCTGGGCCCAGACAGGCTGTACTCACAGGAGCTGCTTGTACGTCCTCTCCTGGTAGGTCTGGTTACTGACGTAGGTGATGTAGACTGAGAAGTGGTCGGCTGCGTAGCGGTACACGATGTCGCACACGTCCGAGATGACGATGTTCTCCTCCATGCGGTGCTCCAGCTCCAGCAAAAACCTGCGCGGCACCCGGAAATCAGCATGCCTGGCTGGGCAAACCGGCACTCGCTGACAAGGTGGGTGGGACCCTGCATGGTAGTGGCCCCTCTGGACAGAGCAGGGAACAGCTATGTTCTTAGGCGGGCCACACCAGCGGGACTGTGCAGAGAGAGAAGGCTCGAGGCTCATCTGTATCTCTTACGCATGTCCTGGCGTGTTTGCAGGTGTAACAGACAGTAGTCAAGCTGTGACTCAGAGTAGCCCCGGTAGTGGGAGAGGCAGGGACCAGAAAGAACCTAGACTGACTCTGTGCTCAATACTAACCAAGCTAGTGGCCAATGCTTGGGGGTTGTAATGTGGGGGTGCCTCTACTTCTGCATTCTGGAATTTTTCAACTTGTAACTCAAGTTGGTATGTAGACAGCAAGCTCAGATATGTCACAGGTTTCCCTGGCACCGCTGAGCCGTCACCTCAGCGTCACCATTATAGGATTAGGACGGCCACTAGGAGGGGCAGAGACTACAAAGAAAAGGCAGGTGTCAGTGCAAACGGGGCAACTGGAGGGCTCATGGACAGACAGCGAGAGCATCCGGGCTTCCACATGTGACAGCGAGTGACCCCCACTGCAGGAGAGGGCTGCCTCAGCCATGCCCTGCCTCATCTGAATGCGGAAAGTTGGCCTAGATGCCCTAGATGCCCACCAGGGCTGCTGGGAAGTGCTGTGGGAATCCTTCATCCTGGTTTCTCTCCTTCACACTCCACAGGAGCTCACTTCCTCCTTCCCCCAGGTGCAGCCCCAGGAAACACAGATCTCACATTCTTTTCCTGCTTGCTGGACACCTCATGGGAGAGGGGAGAGAACCAACAGGCACTGGCCTGCAGTGGGTCTTAGGCTCTGGTATCTGGGGTGAGTGGATATTCCCAGATGACTTTGGACAATTGTCACGGGACCCATACAGACTCGTCTGTGGGTTTCACGCATAAGATTCAACTCAATGTCACTCTGCCCAAGGAGGGGAGTCCCCCAGCTCATAGCACCGTAAAGATACACAGGGCTCAGAGGCTGATGGGAAGATACCCAGGGGTACCACTGGCTAACCTGCTGGAGAAGATGGTGGGCCTTTGGGGTTTACATCTATGTATGAGCACACTTTGTGTGAGTGTGCACACAAAGGTCAGAGGTCAACCTCAGGTGTCATCTCCTTAGTGTGGAGCTAACCAGGCTAGAATGGCGAGCCAGCCAGCCAGCCAGGCCCAGGGATTTTTGCGTTCTCCACATCCCCAGCATGGAGTTACAAGTTTATCCCTCTGGACCTGGCTTTTCCTGTGGGTTCTGGGGGATCAAACGCAAATCCCCATTCTTGCAAGACAACCAACCACTCCATACCTGCCACCATCTCCCCAGCGCCTAGATTCATGACTTCATCCATTCTGTCTCTTTACATAAAAATCCACAGCACTCAGTGGTCCAGAAACCCAAGAGGTGAGCATGGGCGCCTGGGGAAGATGGAGGAAAGTGGCCCTCCAGTCAGTGCTCACCGCTCACTGACAGCCAGGACATCCAGGACATTGGAAAAGAGGATATGGGCCTCGGACGGGTGCAGGATCTTCTTCAGCCGCTCGTTCTCCATGAAGTGTGACACCAGCAGGTTCAGGCTCTTATAGTAGGAGGCCTCGGAGGTGACCAGCTCAAACATAGCCTGTGCGGGCACAGAGGAGACCTTGTCATTATTGTTAAGATGAGCTAAGAAAGCCCTTAGAGGCAGAGGTCCTGAGGCCTGCAGTGGCAGCTGTGTGGCAGAAATCAACTTGGCCAGAAGCCAATGAAGGCAGGCACACTGATACCTGGTGACAAGCTAAGGACCAACATATGGGAGGTCGGTCTTATGGCAGAGCCAGATGGAGGCAAAGATGACTCTGGCCTGTGTTTACTGGTGTAGAGACGGGCAGAGCAATCAGCAGGAGGAAGGACCCGCCTGCTCTTCCATTTTACAGGACACAGACCAAGATGCCAATCAGGAAGGGTGGAATTTTGGGTGACCTTTACTCCTTTTACTTTTCTTCTTCTTCTTTTTTTTTAGCTTTTGAATTATCTGAAAAATCCTAAATAAGCCTCTATTATTTCTTTCAGCATTTGGTTTTATAATGTAATCAAGAGAAGGACTTTCATTTTGAAGAAAACAAAGAAACACAAAATCTTACGTCAGCCTTCAGGGGCACCTTTCTTCTGTATCAACATCAACTTACCAGAATGATGAGTGCAAAAGACCCTGGCAGCAGGCCTGGCTAGCTCGCCCTTAGTGCTCATATGTAAACTACCCGAAACCAGTGGGAGCCGTGACCTCTGTCTTCCAAGCACTCTCCACTGTCTCGACCCAGGTCTGCTTCAGATGCCTGGAGGAAAGTGTGGCAGGTGGGACTATTGGGCCCTCCAAAGTTATGTTCACATCCTCATCTCCAGGACCAACAACCGTGCCCTTGAGTGAAAATGGGTCTTGGAAGCTGAGCTTGAGTTGAAGGTCTTGATGTGAGTCCGTTCAGGGTGGGTCTTACCCCCAGTGCTAGGCATTTAGTTTTGCTTCTGTTGCTGTGATAAAACATTCTGACAAAAGCAGCCTTAAGAAGGGTTTAATCAGCCAGGCATGGTGTCGCACACCTGTGATCCTATCACTCACAGACAAAGACAGAGGCAAGCTGATGTCTGTGAGTTTGAGTCCAGCCTGGTCTACAAAGGAAGTCCAGGACAGCCAAGGCTACACAGAGAAACCCTGTCTTGAAAAAAACCCCAACACCCTCACACTTCCAGGTTGCAGCTCGACATTTCAAGGAAGTCTAGGCAGGAACTTGAAGCTGCTAGTCACACCCACAGTCAGAAGTGGAGAGAGAATGAATCACAATCCCTTAGTCAGTTCACTTTCTCCTCTTTTATACAGTTTGGGACCCAAGCTCAGGCAACGGTGCCATCAACTCTTAGTCTGGATCTTCCAATGTCAACAGACAATAAAACAATTCCCACAAACATACCGACAGGCCAGCCTGATCTGGACCATCCAGATGATTCTAGATTGTATCAGTTGACAATTAAAACTGTCACTGTAGACACCTCCATAATGGAGAGGAGAGAGGAGAGAGGGGAGACATTGACACATAGAGGATGGAGGTGGGGATGAGGGTGGCACCTGGAGTAGCCAGAGGCTGGAAGTCAAAGGAGGGATCCTTTCTGGAAGCTCAGGAGAGAGGGTCACCCTGCCAACAGCTCGGATATAAGATTCTGGCCAGCACCTTGGGTGTGAATATTTCTATCATTCAGTGCCAGCCTGGATGTGATAGTTGTCATCAGAAATAAGCACAACAGACTGAGGAGGACAGACAGCAGCAATGAGCAGGGGTCTGGCAGCAGAGAGGTATGTGACTATGACTGCTGTTGGTTCCCAGAACACATGTGCCTGGTGGTGGAGGCAGAAGTGGGCAGCGGGTTTCCTGCACGGTCTGATTTAATCCTCAGGGTCCCGAAGAAGGGATATGTAGAAGAGCCTGTCTCACCATCAGAACACAGGTGCAAAGCGGTGAACGACACCCTCAAAGTTGTGCAACTCGATAACGATGTGAGAACCCACATTCAACCAAAGGGTTTTCCATGTGCCGGCTGTTGGGACTCCAGTCAGGTTTGGTTATAGCAAGGCAGGGTTAACTGGCTGTTTCCAGTCACTTCCTCCCTGTGAAGCACTGCCAGCCGGTGAGCCTGGGGAAGCCCTTTGAGACAAGGAGCATATTTGTAAGTTGGAGATGCGTGGCAGGAATAGCGAGAAAGTCCACGGAGACATCACAGCCACCCCAGACCCCAGGTCCCCGGTCTGTACTTAAGACAGTGCCAGTAAGGGCTGAGATACCATGAGCTGTGGTCCTGGGACTCAATGCTAGCTGCTAATTCATCTTTGGTTTATGTATGCCTGTATCCAGCACAGACAGGAAGGCCACATTGGCATGACGTTTTCTGGAAGTGTCTCTGTTACAAATGCTGTTAGTAACTCACCTTCCGGCTGTTAAGTTTAATTTCTCAAAAGAACGCCAAGATAGCGGCGCAGCCAGGCTCCAAGCACATGTAATTAACCCAACCAACTGCAGACAGCTATCATAGACCGAGGGACCCACCGTCCCTACACAGTGACACGAGAGGCATGCCTGTCAGATGGAGACACCCGTGGCTCAAGTGCCCCTCCTCATCCTGCTGACAACAGCCTTTGTCCCAATGGCTGCGAGGATCAGGGTTTGGGGACAGCTGAGACTGCCTATGCTGTGGCTGACACCCAGCGAGCTTTGTCCTGAATCGCAACTGATGCTGGCTGAGCCCATTCACTCCCCACACCCCTCCCCTGATCCATCTAGGGGTGGTTAGGCCTCTGTGAGTTTTTCCTTGGCCAGGATGTTTGTCTTTGTTTAGCGCACCCCATCATTTGCCACACCAGTGTAGCTGTCTTCTCCTTATCAGTATTGTTTTTGACTCAGCCACTCGAGCCTTTCCATGGCCATGAGGGACACATGAGGGATGGGGTCGGAGCTCAGCCAAAGAGCTTTCGCCTGCGTGGAAGGCCCTCCGTTTGATCCCCAGTACAAACAAACCTTAAAGGAATAGGAGCCAGGCCCTGTGTGCTCCTCACTTGGGCATCCATTCAGACATCTGCACCTCACACTCTCGGGCACCTGCTGTGTCTGGTGGAGCACCAAGCTCTGGCAGTGATCATAGCACCACAGATTCCACTACAAAGCTACAGCCCAGGGGAGCAGAGAAGGGCAGACCGATTGACATCTCTCAGGTAGTCAGGTGTTCGGGAGAGTGTGTCTAAGAGTGTATGTAGATGTGGTTTGAAGAGGAGATAACCACCTCACCCGCAGGCTCATATGTTGAAAGCTTGGTCCTCAACTGCTATTTTTGGGAGATGGTGGCAACTTCAGGACATAGGGGTTATCTGGAGGAAGTAGGTGCTGGAGTGGTCACTCCTTGGTCTCCCTGCTTTCCATCTGATGTGAGGTGAACCACTTTGCTCCAATACACACTTCCTGCCATGGTATTCAGCCTGACCTCCACAGAGATGGAGCCAGTTGACTGTGGTCTGGACCCTCTGAGGCTGTGAGCCAAAATAAATCCCCTCCTCCTTCTTTGAGACAGACTCTCCCTATGTCGCGCTGGCTGTCCTTGAGCTGGCTAAGTAGACCAGGCTGTCCTTGAACTCAGACATCTGACTGCCTCTGCCTCCCAAGTTCTAAGATTAAAGGTGTGCACCACTGTGATAGACTCTTCTCAGCTATCTTAACATTGATGGGCACACGCAAGGGCATGCACATGAACATTTTTGTACACGTGTGTACATATACATATATATGAATATGTGCATTCATGTGAATGTGTGATAATGTATGTATGAATATCTGAGAGTGAGTATGAGTATGTGATTGTGTGAATGAATTTATGTATGAATGTGCTTGTGGGTTTGTATAGTATGTGTTTCTATATACACACACAGAGAGAAACTGACTGACAGACATTTCAGCATTGTTGCTACAGTTTATGAATTAGCCAGGCTGGACACATTCATAGCTGTCCTCACTGACACCTGCTTTGTGAGCCTGGCCACTAGATGGTATCCTCAGAGAGCATCCAATTAGACTGACTCAAATGTCATGAACCACAGCTTGGTCCCTCAATAGTTCTCTTAGATCACGACTCTTCCATTCGTTAGCTGCCAAGAACCATGAGCATCACAGGATGGCCTGCTTGGAATTTTTGTGCAGGCTGAGAGCTAGTTAATACTTGCTGCTTCCTGGAGGGCCAGTCCAGGGTGGCTCTGTCATTGATGAGGACTGTGACCCATTGGCCTCGGGTGGTCAGAACCCCAGCCCCCAGGATAACTGCTTAATCTTTCCAAATGAGAATGTAACTCTGGATGGCTGCAAGAGGTGAGGTTCGTGTACGAAGCCCAACCCTGGGCCCGGCTTGCCACAGAGCGTCAGAAAGACAATGTGGGCATGGCTGCCCACCACCTGGGCATGCTTTACCAAGGGTAGGAAGGCACTCTGGCCTCTGGCCAGCTGGGCAAGGTGAGGTGGCTCTATGCCAGGAGGTTGGGGCTGAGAGGCAAAGGATGACCAGAAGCCCTTTCCTAGGGATGCCAATGCCCACTCAGAGCCACACTGGGCACACAGGATGGGGCCTAAGATGGTGGTGAGAGAGGGTTTGAACATGGTGGCTCTCCATGTGTTACGGGCCCATAGTGAAGAGATCCAGAAAGGCCCATCAGGTTCTTGTTCATGTATTCAAGCGTGTACACACACACACACACACACACACACACACACACACACACACAGCCTGCCAGGTTGTGAGAAGTGTCTTCTGTAGTGTTGGCCTCACTCTCAAGCCCAGCATAAATTTAGCTTTGCCCTCCAGTGAAAGGGAGACCCCGAGTCGGCTCCACAGCCCTCTGGCCACAGGTTCACTTGGAGGGACCCAGAGGCCACCTGTCTCACAGCATACCCACTGAAAAAGAGGTCTGAGTGGGCTGGAGAGATGGCTGAGCGGTTAAGCATGCCTGCTGTGAAATCAGGAAGACCTGGGTTAGAATCCCAGTACCCATGTAAAAACCTTTAAAAACAGAACTTTGCCACTGATTTGAAGAATAAAAATCTGAGCACCTCAGGGTCC